ACTGGCTTCAGCCACATCACTTCTGGCTCAGTGGATCCTGAAGTGGGTCTGCATGTCTTACCCCTCCTGAGTCAGCACCCTGTTACAGTCTTTCAGCGACTGTCTACACATCTATGATAAGATAAACCCCCCCTCTGTCATGTTGACGTCCTCTTGTAGACGGCCATGATTCCAGTCGGACATGTGTGGGATCATCGCAGAATATCTCCAACTCTGTGCCAGTTTCATGGTCCAGATCCAGCAGCTGTGGACTGGTTTACTGCAGGAGAGGATCCGAAGCTTGTATGACTTCTTTCTGCACCAAACTGCTTCCTGTGTCCAGGTGTGTTAAGGAGCCACACCCTGGCACGGGACCAGCAGTGGGTTGTTGTCTCCATCTGATCTGATGTTGTGATCAAAGCAGTAACGTGAAACAGCAAACTTTAAATTCCTGGCATGGACTTCTTGTTTATCTTAATCCACTGTTCAGGCTTCCAGGTGGCTGGCTCCTGCATCCGGTGCCGAGGCCGGGCACACCTGAGACTGGCTACCAGCCGTCATGGGTCCACAAAGACCAACAAGACATGCAAGTTTGGGTTAGGGTAGGAAACTGGAGTACCCCCGAGAAAATCCACACATTCCCGCAGAGACCGTGCAAACTCCATGCAGAAAATCTCCAGCTAGGGGTCGAACTCATTACAGTTTTGCTGTGAAGTAGCAGTGGTAACCCACTGAACTACCGTGCAACCTTTTATAAAACGTGAAACGCATAAATGTTTGAATGAATGCACACAACACTAATGATGACCTTTTTAATAATTTGTAAAACAAACAAAAAGCCACAGGAACAGTCATGTTTTAGTTACGAAGCCTTTAAAATCTCCAGTTATTTGTGCAATTACACCAACACCTTTTTCATTCACACCACATTTATTAGTTTTATATATTAAAAAAAAAACATTTGAGACTGCACAGTCCTAAATAAAATAAAAAAGGACAAGAAAGCTTTCATGGCAGCAATAAACCCCACAACCTGCCAGAAAGGGCTTCGAAGTTTTACAGCGTGAAAAGGAAATATTGCACATAGAGGAAAGGCTTTTGGGATGACATCATTATTAATTAGGTGAAAAGGAGCAGAAGTTTGTGAAATTAGTTGAACAAAACAGTTGAAGACAGGTACAGTATGTGTCTATAGCAATCTACAGATCCAACACCCACGCCTTCTGCAAACAAAATGCTTTTTTTCTGCAAGAAAGAAGGAAAAACAAACCATATGTACAAAGACTGGTTTAAAAAAACAACAATCTGACATCATTAAATGCAAACCTGGCATAAACAAAGTAAAGTGGCACACGTTTAAGAAGTTTATTTCTTGAACTCAAGGTACATTTGGCCAACATTCTAAATAACCCATAAATGTTAATCTCTTCATTTTAAATAATAAAAAATACAAACTTAAGAAAAACATGCAATAAGACAAGAGCGATTTTAAATATAAACAGAGATTTAACCGTCGTGAAACGTTTTCCTGCTAATAAAACCGCACAACTCAAGCCACAAATAATGTATTCAAGTCTATACAGTACGTCAATGGTTCCCAATCGCAGGCCTTGAGGAACGCCATCCTGTGTGTTTCAGTTGTTTCCCTGCTCTGACATTTGATTTAAATGAAGTGGTTATTAACAGGTTTCTGCAGAACATGAAGTATTAGCAGGAAGTAATTAAATCTCTGAATCAGGTGTGTTGGAGCAGAGAAGCAACAAAAACATGCAGGATGGTGTTCCTCAAGGATCTTGTTTGGGAACCACTGCAGTGTGACATTCCCCTTCCACTAGATTTGTTTTGTTTTTACTAAACAATCTAAATTTTATGTATTTTTTTTGGCATTTTAGGAATGAACAGTGCGAGTCTAACGGCGTACAAAGGTTTTGTTTCTGAATTTAGTTCAAAGACTCTCAAAGACTAAAGCAGAGAATTTCATCAGTTCAGTCAACGATCTGTTCAATGATCAGATTGTTGGGTTCTTTAAGCAAGCTGGCCCCACACATAACCATTTTATCCTCCCTAGTTTTTAATCCTACATTAGACACATCAGTTGGGTATTTCTAATTGTCTAATTTTCAAAATCAAACGTGAATATTTCTACAGAACCTCAAAGTTTTCACATCACTGGAACTTTTCCAAATTTGTTCATGTTACAGCCTCAAGCTTCAGAGTATTTTACATGATAGACCAACAAAGTAGTGCTTGACCGGAAAGGGGAGGACAACGATTTGTGGTTTTCAAAACCTTTTGCAAATACAATTTTGAAAAATGTGGCATGCATTTATATTCCCCCCTTCTCTGAGCATCGTTCAATCCATCTTCAAAAAATGGAAATGAACAACTGCAAACCTGCAGAGACATGGACCGCCTGAACCCAGGTAGAGCATCAGTCTGAGAAGCAAAGGAGCCCCACGGTAAGTCTGAAGGAGCTGCAGAGGTCCACAGCTCAGGTGGGACAATTTGTCCCCAGGACAAAGACCCATCCACAAATCTGTGCGTTAGGGAAGCGTGGCAAGTTAAAAGTCATTGTTGATGGAAAGTTGCCACAAAATGACAGGCAACTCTAAACGAAAATTTGTTGGAGGCTATGAAAGACCTGAGACCTTCCAACAGGAAAACAACCCAAAACCACAAAAGATTGGGTTAGATCAAAGTCTAGACCCAAGTCCAACTGAAACTTTTTGGCAAGACAAACATTTCTGACCACAGAAGCGTTCCATCCAATCTGCCAGATATGGAGCAATTTCACAAAGAAAATGGGCAAAAATAATTCAGTCTCCAGATGTGCTGAACTGGTGGAGGCAACCCCCAAAGAGTTGCTGCTGGGTGCCAAAGGATGCCACACGTTGCAGATTTTTACTGGTAGAAGACTTTTAAAACACAAAAAAGTTAAATCAGGTCATCTGGACAGATGTTTCTCAGTTGAAACGTTTCGTCTTTCATCTGAAAGACTTCATCAGTCTGAGGCCTGCGAGCAAACTGTTATATGATCACGATCTGGTATAGGGAGGTTGGTTTGGAGGACAGGATGGGAGACAGATCACAACACCATGGATGGACAATCCAGAGACACATGACAAGACACAAGGGAGCTGAATATATACAGACACTGATGACGACAAACGACAGACACCTGTGATGATTATCGTTGGACACAGGTGAGACAAGAGCTGAACACAAGGAGGAGGAACAAGGAGGGGAGAAAGAAACACGAGGAAACAGAAAAGACAGGACAAAACCCAGAAACTGCCACACCTGCACCTTTTCAAAGTGGTTCAGGCCAGTCTGCTGTACTAGTTATTCACAAGAAAAAAAGGGGACCATCAGTCAAACAATCGATCATCAATCATTAGAAACAAAATTCTTTCCACTCCACAGTTAAACACTTCTTTGTATTGGTTCAGCACATAAAAATCCTAATAAAAAAAATGCATTACCAGTAAGTTTCTGGTTATAATGGAACAAAACAAAACCCCTTAGTGATGTTCAAATGGGATTCACCGTATGTGTCCTTTTGGCAATGATTCACTTGGACCAATTCAAGACAAACTACAGGGAGACTTGAAGGAGGGGAATCTATCAATTACGCTCTTACTCAAAATGGCGCTTGCTTCTTTGAGCTTTTCTCTTTTCTTTAACTGGGTCATTAGGACCCTGGAGAACCCTGGAGAACGTCCTTTTCATCTGTCTGAGCATCTGGACAACAAGTGCTTTTTTATTTGTAGTTTTAAGACCGAACTGACTCGGGATGCAAATAGGCGGACAACATTCCAAGAACAGTAAGAAAATTACCATATTTTAGTTTTGCTTTTAACACTTTAGATTTTTTTTTTTAAATTTGGTCATTTTCAGGCATTTGCACTGCATCATTCCTCACAAACAAAATTTAAATAGCTGATTTTGCTGGTAAGCCATATCAATATTGTAGAAAAAGTTGAGACAAGATGTGACCAAAGCGTGATTGTTCGTTAAGAGCATGTGGGATTCTGTTACAATAAGGCATTGCTTTAATGAAAAACAGCTGGACAAACGCTTCACAGTTTCATTGATGCTTGACTCACGAGTAACGTCTCGAAACTCAAGCACGGCATCGTCGTCACACTGATTGTTTCAATCAGGATGGATGCAAAATCGATATTTCACAACACTAAATATCTGATATGTAGGGATGAGAATAAAGGTCGACAATAAAACCGATTCAAATGAACCACCGGCTCCGTTTGCAACCAACTAACTAATAAATACAGAACAAAGTTTTCATTCACAACCATTCTATGCCACAAACACAAAATATACCCCCAGTAGACATGTTAGAGCCACGTGTTTGCAGACATCAGTGGAAATAAAACTAACCTGTAACCCCTTTCTTATCTAAAATTCAAAATGATAAAAGAAAATCTAAGTTGTACTTCACCTGGGAGGAATAAAAATGCTTTCCTAGCATAACGCTGCTAATGTAGCCTATTTACAATCATCTATTGTATGCAACAAAAATAGCCTGCTTTCATTTCTAGTCTAAACTGATATGTTCTGGCCTTCATGAAACAGAACCTAATTAAAAACAAGGGAATTCATTAATTGTGCTTTTTAACCCACAAATCCACTTCATAGTCGAAATGGGACAATTTCAAGAGGCATCATTTGAAGCACTTACATCGGTTACGTCTAAAGCTATAACAAGGACTGACAATACAAATATTATAGTTTGTATTTATAAAGTTAGTACAACTTTCTTTGAGTCTCGTGTTCAGTTTAAAAAAAGCATTTTCTCTCCATTGTCAAAACGTCAGACGAGAAGGATCATTGTGTCGACACGCAAAGCCCTTCGGATGCTCAGAGGAAAAAGTTTTTGCCAGGGTTGATTCTAGAAACCCTACTATGAACGACACCAACGCTTGTGGTAAAAAGCAGGAAGAGTTTCAATGTTGAAGGTTGTTTTAGGAAAACTGAGACCAGTTGGTCCTTGGACACTGCAGTTAAACAGTCACCTCGTTCTTACTGGCAGTGCGGTACGTGTGGTGGTGACCGGGAATGTACTGCAGGTGGTCCACCGTGTGTGTTCGTCGGTTGGCAAACGCCTGCCTCTTGGACGTGGACGTGCCTGCATGATGGTTGACCATCAGCGTGTTGTACGAGTCGTTCGAGGCACTGGGCTGAGAGTGCATCTTGGGCATCTTGTGGCGATCCATGACAGGCGTCGTGGGAAGCAGCATGTCGGCGTGAGACATCGCTCGCGCCATGGCCTTCTCCCGGAACTTGTCGCGCCTCATCGCTGGGGACAGCAACAAGGGGTCCTGGGAATGAAGACGGTCCGCAGAAAGCAACTGCTCGTTTGAAAGATTCCTGCTGCTTCCGTATGCCGCGGCTGCCATCGCGCCGTATGACGACAAGTTGTAGTCTCCACGGCGTGGCGTCCTGGGAGGAGACAAGACATGGTCCTGGGACATGGCCCTCTGGACCCGTCGGGGACGTTGACGCTGCTGATGCTGATGCTGCTGATGCTGATGCTGCTGATGCTGATGCTGATGCTGCTGGGGTTCCGCATTCAGCTTCACCATGTGGGTCGGTCCCCTGCCGCCAAAGTCAGGATGGTGATGCTTCCTTGGGTAATAATCGTCCATGTCTTTCTCACCTGTTGGATCATGAAAAACATGTTTAATAAAACAAGACACTTATTCTGTAAAGGCTTTAAAATGACACTTTTCTTCTTCAAGGGAAGAAAACACGTGAAGCCGTTCATGGGAACAGGTTGAGAAACGCCTCAGCTCAAAGAAATAGTTCTGGGTTTGGAAAGACAGACATCTTCGTCCTGCAAAATAATCACGATTGCCATAAATTGTCTTTACATTATGCCTTTTGTTCTTTTCCCTAAGAAAAAAAGTGAATATAACATTTCATTTCCTCATGTTTAAAGCCACCACTACAATTTTTTTTTACATTTTTATGTTCTTGCTGACTCACACCTTTGTAAGCAAAAATAAGTTATTATAGGCGTCCAAAACTGGAACAGAAGACCAAACAAATAGCCCAATCATAAACTGTTAACATTTTATTAAAGCGATATCTCAACCTATTCTTTTATTATATTTTTCAGGTCATTAGCTATGTTTACATGCACTAAATTATTTGATCCGATTGAAATGTATTCAGATAAAATAATTCAAATGTATAGTTTACATGGACACAATCCGTTCACGATGAATATTTAGATGCAGCGGGCTTTTATTCTGAATAAAAGTACTGACATGTGCAGAGTGGTAAACTCTCCTTAAAAAACACACACACAATAAGAAGTTCTACTTCCTGGATGAATGTAAACAAACCTGAGCACACAAAATGGACCTGCGACAGGTTTTAATGACGGTGGAGACGTTACTGCACTCCCTGATTGAGCTACAGGTAATACACAACATTTTGAGCTCTTTCAAAGTTTCTAGTAGAAATGTTGTGTCGCTCACCGACCAGTCTTAATTCCCCGACACGCTAATATTATTAGCATCTAGCCAGGTGAAAATACGTGAGATTGACAGGTTGCACATGCGCAGTCAGGTCAGATCTTCACAATCGGAATAAAATGATCAGATTAAGTGTTTACATGCACACTGTTCGGATTATGAATCGGCATAAACCACCCGTCATATTCTGATTACAAATTATTTTGGATTGAAATGAATCAACAAAGAATAATCCAAATGGGGTGTTTACATGACACATTTTTATTCCAAATGGCCGTTTAATCCGATTACTTATGTCCATGTAAACAGCCATTGGTTTGAGAAAAGTTCAGTCTCTCAATTTATTGATGCTTTTCTTCTCCTTAATTAACATTTTTTAAAATACTATACATATAACTTCCTGACACCCCACACCCTGATATTGAAGACACAGTTTTAGACCAGTTGTCATCATCATCATCATCAATACAGTTTATTTCCCACTGAGACTCAAAGACTCATTTACAAAAGAGACCTGTTACATACAACATACAGGCAGATGAGAAAAAGATAACAAGGATGAAGGAAGGCAAAAAAATAATAATCATGTCACACCATTTCCTGGCCAGGAAAAAGTATGAAAGATTAAAAAAAGACCTCACAACATAAAGCTGCAACATACAATGACATCATAATACATTTATGCACAGAGGACCATTAAGACCAGTTGTCTTAATTCAGGAAGACTAGATTTGAAGTTTTATATTAAATTTTAATTGCAATATATATTTATATTTTTAACTCCTAAACGCTCAAAAACAATGTTTGTTTTTATGTTTAGGAGGATCGACTAATCCTAAGTACCTAGGGGAAATTAAAAATGTGCAGCAAACTAAAGCTTGGGACTCAAGAGGAGAAAACTGTCTGAGCGAGGTCAGCGAGTGGAGGCCACTAAGACTTGAGGGGTAGCCTGATATGATGCTGAAAACAAGCTGAGTTTAGTATTTTTCTGATGTTTAAACCTGAAGAAGGTAGGTGGCCATGAGCCTGACTCCATCATTGACATGAAGCCTTCCATGCTGGAAAAATGGCAGCTTAAGCAACATCAACGTGTTTCTCTTAAACACATTTTACAGATTCGAGCTGACATTGATGGGCGTGGTGGGGACTGTTTGGATGTTTTGCTTTCCGACAGAGATGCCATCCGTGGGTAATATAAAAGCTCACAACGTTCTTGTCGCCTCATAAGGAAGTTTTTATAAGCAGTTGCTCTGTGCGTTCCTAAAGAAGAGAGCCCAGCTCTGGCCTGTGGCAACGTTTTCCTCTCTTGGGTTGGTTCAGACGTGATATTATGGCAAAAAAAGTCAATCGAACTCAACCTGAGGCTGCGTTTAGACAAACAACAACCCAGAGTTCCAGTAATAGGTCAGACCCAAGCTTCATAGTATTACAGTTCTGTCTGTGAGTGTGAACCCAATGGTGCACGCAGGCACAGGGAACATGGTAAAGTAAAATAGTATTTATTAACAAAATAAAAGGTTGACGAGGAGCAGTACTCATAAGGTAAAAAATGGTCATGTACCCTCATAGGGGTACTCATGGGTTACACAACGGCTCAGTGGTTAGCACTGTTGCCTCACAGCAACCAGGTCCTGGGTTCAATTCCCGGTTGGACCTGGGCTCTTTCTGTGTGGAGTTTGCATGTTCTTCTCTTGCTTGTGTGGGTTTCGCCGGGTACTCCAGTTTCCTCCCACAGATCAAAAACATGCATGTTAGGCTGCATTCAGGTCCAGGCCTCCCTTGCAAAAGAGATCTCGATGGGATTTGCCTGGTTAAATAAATGTTAATAAATAAAATAGAGAGCGAGGGACGAGGAGACGGAGAGAGACAGAACCAAACGTCTTGGATGACAATGGACAGAGGAAACATATAGAGATGCAGACTTAAATACAGACACTAACGGACAATGACAAACACCTGGGGAAGGACAACAGGTGGCGGAGGCAGGAGCTGATTACAAGAGGGAGAAACAAGAATCACACAAACACACAGATCCTCTCAAATAGTACCATAAATGTTTTACTTTTTGAGAATTTATCATGGCATCAATAACTGAAGTAGCATTTTTATTCCTTTAGAAATTTGCAAGTTATTTGGACACTGAGCAGAATTATTTCATAATTTAATAAAAATCATGAAGAGATTCAGAGTAAATTACCAAATTACATTTTTTTAACCAACACTTGATCCCTTATCTTCATGAACGTATAAACAGTTCAGACTCTAGAAGACTGAAGTGATATAAGGACGTCTGCTGCCGAGATGAGATTAAACACAGAATAGCACTTTAACTTTTAACATAATTGGACCGGGCTGATAAACTTAGAGCGGAGCTTTAAACACACTAATTTGCTAATAACAGCTAATTAAACTGCAGCTCCCACTTTGCTAGATTGAATTCAGTCCAAGCAGTGTGTTTATGTGCCAGCTATTGATCAGAGAGGACTGCAATCATGTAATGCACCGACACGCCTGAAACTGCTGGAACATCAATTATAAAGTGATCTTCAGGGCTTGGGAGCAGCAGAGGTGGAATTTAAAAGTGAGTGTGTGAGTGGAGGGGCGCGGCGTCATAATCTACGTTTTTCTCTTTTACTTCTGAAAGGATTAAAGATGACTTCTTATGTTTTGGAGAGGGTTTAATCTCTTTTAGGGTGATTAAGGTGAACAACAGCAGAGCTCCTCTCTGGAAGAGCAAAGCTGGTTCATTTACTCTGACCTCTCTGACTGGTAAAGGACAAAAAAAGTGAATAAAAGTTTATCTTACAATAACAAAGTTGTTCATTGTTAAATTGCAAATAGACGCTAATGTTTAGGCTACTTTTAGCTAGACTTTTGCTACTTTTATGTACATTCTGGGATGTTTAGGTACCATTGTCCAAAAAAAGATTAAAAAACAAAAACAACTGGACATATTTTTTCAGCTTCATAGACATCCAGATGTTTTTGTTTTTTACCCTTTTGCTTTTGATTGATAATGACCTGGATGAATCTTCACCAGCTCATCACCATTCTGGGAAAAGCTTAGCTATATGTTTAGCTAGCCTTCTGATACTTTTAGCTACTGTTCTTGTACTTTTAGTTTACATTCTGGCACTTTAAATTTTAGCTACCACAATGCTACTTTTAGCTACCGTTTTGCAAATTTTAACAAGAATTTTGCTCCTTTTAGCTAATTCTGTTACTACTTTAAGCCACTCTTCTGCTACTTTTACCTAGCATTTTGTTTGTTTTTTATTTACCAACACAACTTCAGCTCTTTCAGTAGATTTCAGCAGTCATTCACAAACTCTTTTTCTTTTTTTTAAATTCACTTTAGTAACTAATCAACTAACTTTTATGTATTTTACAACAATCTCAATAAGGTTGAAAGTTGTGATAAAAAAAAAATACATTTAGTCATTTCCGGTAGCGTTTCTGTAAATCTCAATTTTTCTAAAATTCAATTCAACCTTTATTTAGACAGATAAATCACATTGAGCCTCAAAGACTCATTTACAAGTGAGGCCTGTTTAGACAGACCAAAAATGTAATGAAACTAGACACCTGTAGGAATTGGAGGCAAAAAATTCCTATCAAACTCTTTCTTCTTAGCTGAAAAGAAAGACCCCGATAATAAAAAAAACACCCTGTACATACAAGCACATGGTGATGTAAACATTCTGCGAGGGGGTTCAAGGGTGGTGAGGATGTCCAAGGACGCTCTTGTGGGCACTGTAGGAGCTCTGATAAGGATGGAATAATCAGCCAGTTCCCTCTGGTGAGATCCATAAACATTCTCAAGGGATGTCGGGGAATGGCCAAGAACAAAGCCAATGAGAATCCAAGAGTCCTGAAATGACACAATGTTTATTCAGCTGGTTTCCTCAGGTTGATTAGTGGAATTCCTCGATCGGAGGGAGGGGGGCAGAGCGTCAGATTACATGGCCTCCATGCAAATTGAGATAAGGTGGCCTGCAAGGCCAGCCAAGGAAGCCAAATTCAGATAAACAACATTTGTTTTGAAGTCAGGCAGAACTTTAATATTTATCTGCCTTGAGTCTTTGATGGTCTCACGTAGATTCCGAATGGTCTAAATTAAGTGGAGACACCACTGATCCATGCCTGAGAATATTCCCCGAGATTTGATCTATCCTGC